TGGAGTTCCAGCATACTATCCTGGAACTCCAGTATAATATGCTGGAGTTCAAGTATACTTATGCTGGAACTCCAGCATAATATACTGGAGTATTTTCCGGGTTTTAAACAGTGTTTTCGCTCAAATTTATTTTTACATAAAAAGTGGCTAAATTTCGATTACTTTTGAAATTGGACTATTTTTGAACGACCAGTTGTAAATCTGACTATTTTTAAAAATCACCCATTTATTACCAACACATCAGGCCCCTCGCCAAACCAATCCCAGCAACCCATTCTCTAACAAATAGAACTCAAGATTTCCGTAATTAAAAAAAAAAAAAGAAGTGCACTTTTAAATTTTAAGTACAAAAGTTACTCCTTAATAATACATAAAGGAGTAGTCTTGATTCTGGAATTAAGACCTGTTTTAGATGCAAGTGCCTTGCAAAATTAAACTTACTAAACTAATAAGGCTAGTGGCTGAGCTGTATCCAAGTTGAAAGAATCATGTGCAGAACCAAAGGCAAAATACTAAATTATCAGTAGCTTAGTCATATAACTACTTTTGTCATGTGCTCATTCAACTAAATACCACACTCTAGAACCACCTGGTCGACATTTACAAAAACCTGATTACCAATTCTACCAAAAATAAAAGAAACGCTCTACAATTATCACAAATCACTCATACAATTTGTTTAATTTACAGATTCACAAATGCTGCACATATTTTTTCCAAGCAGCTTCCTTTTTTTAAGAACAATTTCAAGAAAAACAATCATAATCTTCTTTCTCACCCCCCTCATGTCTAGTACTATGAAAGCCTATTGCGTCATGAAAGAAAGAAAAGCCATAACACTAAAGCTTCAATATTGATGGTGAGGTTGAACGAATCAAGGGCACGGCTGGAGGATGACGACTTCTGTGTCTACTACTCGACGATGCAGATCCTGAAGTACGAGAGGACAAGCTAGGTTGATTAGAAGAGGCTACAAACCTACTTGAATGGCTTCGTAGTTTTTTCTTCTCGATGCTCCTATCTTCTGCCCTAATATGCCGGACCTTTGTCTCATTCAAACTGGCTGGGAGGACACAATTGCACAGAAAGCCTAGAATCGAGTCAAAAGCAACAAATTAATCCATCTACTAAAAAAATATGAATCTGGATATAAATACTGATAAATCATTCTCAAATGGCAAGCAAAGTATATGTGAGTTATGTCCAAAGTGCGACTCAACGTACCAATATTGGATTAGAATTTAGTTTTTGGCACCTTTGAGGTGCAGAAAACTTTACAAGTTGGCCACAGGCTGGCTCGAAAAATCATGTGAAAATTATCAAACCAGATCCATCATTTATGTTTCCACATATCCTAAGACTTTATTAATTAACTTGAACTATAAGGGACCACTAATTAAGACTCCAAGGACCAACATGTTAAAAAAACTAAGTATTGCAAGCAAGGTCCATATAGAAAATAGTGTCCTAGTTGTCCCATTCCCTATCTGTAGTTGGGTACAGGAAGGAGAAAGATTGTTTAAATTTAAAATACTCAATGAAGCTCAAGTTAATTTAGCCATCAACCTCACTAAAAAAAGCAGAATAATGAAAACAAAAGAAGAACATTAAAAAATGGCTTCTCACCAACTTGCTGAATTGAATATTGACATCATAATTGGACATGAGATAAGCAGCTCATTCCAGAAAGCTGATAGATGCTCAAACGAAATAGTTACTGTGCCAATTACCTTATTCTCTTATGCAATAAGGAGTGCAACCATTTTCAAAGCAATTCAAACAATTAGCACTATAAGGTAGTGACTGTGTGCTTTATATAATGGGGACAGTGAGAAAATGAGAACCAAAATAAAGAAAGAAATGGAAAACATGGAAGACAGAAGCATGAGGTAAAGCAATTACCAAGTCGTGCCAGTCGGTTCACCCATCGAGGAATTGGCTTCCCTGTTAACCGAACGCAGACGTCACTGCAAAAATGATTGCAGTTTTTTGTGATTAGATTGTAGGAGTGACCAGTATACTCCTCTGCCAGTTTCTCCATAAATGCCCGGACCTCTTTTGGCCCCAAGTCTGTTCTCCCTATAAGAATTGATTTTCTAAACGTAAAACCAGGGCATTGCTTTGGTTCCACTTCAAATATCCCAGTAGTCGGATGTTCATGAGCACCAAATGCATATTCGACTCCATGAACTACAAAAATGAGAAACAATTTCATTCACTAAAACAGTCAAGATTTTCCTAGACAACAATTTCAAATAATACATCTTCCACACTTCTTCTCTTAATCAAATTTTCATGATAATACATGTAAAGGAAGGCCAACAAATTTCAATATATTCCTAATTTTCTTCAAAAACCATCAAGTTGCAAGTCTCCGTGGGAGGTAGTAGTAGGTACCCCGTGGAACTAGTCGAGGTGTGTGTAAGTTGGCCCGGACACCATCAGAAAAAACAAAGAAGTTCCAAGTCTCCATAGACCAAAAGAACCATATGCAGCAAAGTTCTACAGCAATAAACTTTCTCTAGACCTAGATGTTGAAATGAGAAATCTGAACTAGACTGATGTCACAACCCAGTGATGTAATGAAAATATAGGCAATCTCCAGCTAAATAGTTTCAGAATATAAAAGGAAGAAATGGTGGAAATTTTCTACCTCAAGACGTTCACGGAATTTTTCAACTAATTCAAAAAAGAGCACCTACCAAGTTATAGCAAAGGATTCATATGTCATGGTAAAAGGAAGAAAATTCTAGGGTTTTACAATCATTTGAGATCCAAAATGAAGCATCTACATGGAACCATAAAAATCCTTAATGAAGAAATCCAAACAACCATGAAAACTCAAAATAAAAACCAAAACCAAAACCAAAATGAAAACGGAATAAAGAACCCAACTTTTTGCATAAATTGTTGAAATTTTGCAAATATAACCCCTAATTTCTGGAAAAAAGAAACTCAAAATCAAAGATAAGATAAGATGACCAAAAGAGCCAACTTTTGCATAAATTCTTGAGATTTTAACACAGAGATTCAAATTAATATTATTTCAAACCCAGATAACAACTGAATCCAAAAGAGAAATGAACACAAGATCTGAAAAGGGAACAAACCTTGAACACCAGAATGGTAAACACCAAGGCCAAGCCAATAAGCATAGCCATTAATGGGAGTGAGATCGTACACATTCAGGTAAACTGGAACTGCTCCAGTTTTCCTCTTCCGTCGCAGCATTTGACACAGCATCTTCTCTTCTCAAAATCTTGAATCTTTCAATCAAACAATGAAAGAGGGAATTTTGCAAT